TTTAGAAACAAGGGTCTCTAGCTATGAACCAACAACAACAAAATAACAAAATCTGATCTGGGATTGGCTATATAAATTACATGATATTAAACTATAAATATGTTTGTGAAGTTCAGGGAGGATGAGAGGAAGATGAGATAATGGAGACAATAAAGTGGGAATATAAAGTACAAGAGAAGACAAAAAAGATTAGAAGACAGGATGCCTGAGGAACGGCGCTTTTTGAGGGCCTCAAAGGGTGATTCTGCAATCCCAAGTCATATAATACTAAACCCTATTGTCTTTGAATCCCAGGTTTTAAGTTCTACTACATTAATTACCCACTAATTATTACTACTGTTTTCTAAGAACCCATTTAAGCCGCACCCTTCATGCTCCCATTTGAGATTTTTTTTTTAGAGGAATGGAGTGCTGAAGCAAGCTAACTTATGAAGACCAATAGTTTTTATCATTGAAATTTGATTTACTTTGATTTTGGTTTTTACATCTAACTCCATTTTGGCTTTGATCCTTGTTTTGAAGACCAACAATCTTAAGCCGGATCAAAATTAAATCAAATTTAAAGGATCAAAATTAAGATGAGGTCAAACTTCAGGTATCAAAATCACTAATTTTAAATTTTAGGAATAAAAATCAGAATGAAATCAAATTTCAAGAACTAAAAATAGGATTTATCCTCAATACTTTATATTACATCAAAATGTGGTCTAGGAGGGCATTCATAGTAAAACTCGGTAAATACTGTGTTTTTTCCGCCAGCCAGTGAATACTGCATTCAAAATGAGGAATGAATTATATTTCGCCTCATCTTTATTATAAACTTTAATTAATTGACGGACGGTGATAAGAGATATTATCACAAATGAGAAAGAAAAACTAGTTAGGACAGAATTTAAAAGAATACATTCAGTATGAAGACACATCTAAATTTAAACTTATAAAATAAATCATACTCCCTCTCAAATTTAAGGACTTTTTTCAACCAGGTACCCAATATATAAGATTGAAAGGAAGATACTCATTCCACTTCATGCTCCATTATACAAGTCACTTTAGCCAATTCATTAGTAGTATTAAAAAATGATAGTTAACTCATTAAATTTCTCTCAAACTGATTTTTCCTTTAGCTTTGTCCGTATTAAATAAGAATGTGAATGAGAGACAAAAACACACATAGCTGCATTTAATCATTAATTACAGAAATAAAATTGACAAATATCTATTAATTACCCACTAAATAATTTATATTTCAAATGTAATATTCTATTTAAAAACTTGCCAAACTTAGCACAATATAAGAATATCGGCATCCTTACCATGGTAATTAAAGAAAACGGGTTACAAACGTTGTTTCAAATTTCCTCACTTATTATCATATGATCCTGATATAAAAGAATAAGACAAACAGTCAGCAGCACAACATATTATAGTTATAAAAGAATTATACTTACGCATTAAGCATATAACCATATAAGAAAAGAATTATATCCCTAACATGGTTATAAAAAGCCTTTTATATACCTAATTGACATAGTTTGTTACAAATAATATAACAAAACTAAGTTTAAATTATTTCAAAGACATCCTTATAAATGTATAATCATAAATTTTTCAATGTAAAGAATATAAAAAGATATGCATAATGATATCCTAGATGGCAAATAATTAATGACTCAACATAACCAGTGTTTGGGGTGTGATCACCACTGAAGGTGACCTCATGCCTCTGGTTCTTTTTCCGCTGCAGCTCCTCTATTACTTTTACCTGAAAATGATAGATGTAACAGAATGAGACTATTGTCTCAGTAACAAAAACTCTTACCCACCTCATCTACCAGCACCCCTAAGAGGCCCCAAGCAAGACTAATAATTAAAATAATCATTAAACATGTTATTATCACATAACAAGTACTAAATATCACAAACACATAGGCAAAAAGGAAAATATCAACATATATGCTTGCTTTATTCATCATGCATTATCATTATTAATCATTTAATTCCTACCTTATATCCTCCTTATACTTGCTAACTTGAACCCATAGGCTAAGTCTTAATCATGTGATTAGTGACTCTCACGAGCTTCCCACACGTTTGATGCAGACCGGCCAAAGTCAACAGAGTACATGTGGGTCATGGGTTCATCCAAAAAAGAGGGATTCTGTCCTAATAGGTTTACTGCCTAATATCCTAGCGGGGGATATTGCCTCAGGACACTCTTGGAGTGTTGCAAACGGGGGGATACTGCCCCCTTTAATAGGCTAATTATAGTGCGCTATGGAGGCAAACCACGTGGTAATATATGTATAACAATTTCTATCACTACACCTCCTGAATGTTAAACTAATTAATCATAGTCATGACATTTCTCAATTCTTATCAGATATCTCAAGAACATGTATCTTAAGAGATTTAAAACATACGTCAATCATATAAGATACTTAATATCGTACCATACATATAATAGTATTCTAAAATAATCAAGAGCATAAACATATCATTCTAAAAGCTCATGCTACCATATAAAACACAATCAAATAAAACAACAGTTTGGATACTTCAACTTGGCGAACAAATAACCTTTTGCCACAATAAACTATACAGTACATCCCAATTCCATAATTTCATTCAAAAATCACTCATCAGGCTTCTATATAGTTCTAAGGTTATAGCAATTGATTCATTTTTCATAAAGCAATCCCACCAAGCAACTTTCAAATGTCTAAAAAGATTTTTCATTGTTTTAGAACAATTTTCTCATTCCATATTATTCAAACCCTATCCTAAAAGGTTTAATTTAATTAAAAACTCCTCATAGATGAACTGATAGAACAAAACAAGTAAGAATTCACGTTATTTGGTATCCAATAAGTGCTTACAAGTTAAAGATTAAGACCCTGAATTTGGGGGTCGTCAAACCAAATATCATATCTACAAATAGAAAATATACATTACTATAGTATATTATGGGTAAACTATGTGTTAAATTTTAACCCATAACTCTTTCTTTAAGGTTTTTGAATTGTTATTCACAATTCTACCTATTATAATTTTTCTAAAATTTGGAGCAAGAACATGGATATCATGTTTTAGATTCAATTCTTAAATTTCTTTAGCTTATATTATCTTTAAATTTATAAATTATATCATTATAATTTATTCATAACCCAAGTAGAAAACCCTCAATTTATAGCCTCTGTTCTATTTTTGAAAAACTTGGAGAAACATATTTAATACCAGTTAAATTATTCTCACTATAGATATTTAATTATTAATCTAACCATTGAAATTAACATATTAGATGTCTTGAGCCTATTCTCCAAATTTTGGTTTGATCTATTGGTGAAGCAATTTAAAAATGATACTTTACTACTCAGAGTTCTATCTAAACAATTTGAAAAAAAAGGAGTTTAATGCATATCTAATAACTAATACCTTAGAGATTGAATCACTAATCTGACCATCGGTTTACAAACTTGCATACGGCACTTTATTGAGGCTGTCATAGTTTTGTGCGAAAATATTTAACTTATTCTCAATTCTCCCATACTATCACCTATTTATAAGCTCATGGAGCTTTATCTTCATATCATTTAATCGACGTGGGAGTTCTTAACCTTTTTGTTTTATTTATGGATTAATATATAAATAGTTATACATAAAAATACATATGATCATAAATATTTTAATTGCTTATATATATTTAACCACTGTTCAAGCAATGTCAATATACATTTAATCACAAATTTACTTAAGTCTTAGAGATTAAAAATTAGGATGTTACATCAAACCAAAACATTCTTTTGAAAACAAGTTATATTAGAGATCAGGAAGAAGGGCGTAGTTCGTGCTGCACCAATAGATTAATGTACTACTAGATGATCACCTTTAGGAATTAGAGGCAGCAAGGTGTCATCACTTTGCTTGGGGTCTACTTGACATCATATTTGAAATTATTTATAAGCATATTTTATGTTTAATAAAGCTTCCATGCCAATTCTAAATACTCTCTACCTTATCAAAAAGCTTCCTTCACCAATCTTCAAATACCAGTCCCGAGGGAGTGCCACAAATCTTGGTCCTCAATTCCATCCTGATTTCCTCCACCAAGCTCTTTTCATTTAATTAATTATTAAAAAATTAAACCACCATGCATGATCACTCCCCAATCATCCTCTTTTAGTTCCTTCATGGTAACACTTGCTCACATGTCCACACACATTCACGTGAACTTCTCCCTACCAATGTGATTCACACGCTATATCCCTTTCTTTCATGTACCTTCCACTTATTCCTCCTTATTTTTAAAACACTATTCACTAATTAATTTAATCCAAAAACAGATCCACCATATGTTATTCGAATTTAAATTTTTTTAAAAATATTTTATGAGGTATTCAAATATGGGGAGGGTCCCCTCCTATATTTATGTTGTTAGGGACATAAAAGTTCCAGTTTTTATGCAATCGTTATTGTTTATACAGGGATTTTTAAACTTTCAAAAATATTCAAATCTAAAATACATATACTTAATGAAAATGAAATCACTGCACCAAACATTTATGACCTCTCTTATTTTTCACTCATGGCATCATTTCAAAAATGTTATTTGAAATGCAAAATTATTATTATTATTTTTCGAGAGAAGGTGCTTTTGAAACAGAGAATACGGCGCTATCCACTGGGTCCCACATCCGCACCCGTCCAAGTCAATCTTCCTCTATGGTGGAGCCCTCTCCCCAGTTGCACTCGCATCAGGACCGTTCAACCAACCAGAGCGTCCGAAAAGGATGTGGGACCCATCCCTTGAACGGCCCCGATTCGTTCCCGGCGCGCTCCGTTGGTGTAGAGGACTCTTGTTCGTCTCACCAGTATCACCGTTTCCGTTTCCGTCTCTGTCTCTCTCAGTTCGTTTTGCTTCATCTTCAATGCCTCTCACTCCCTCTCTCTTCCATGTTGTCTTCTTCTTCTATTAAATGCTCCCCATTCCCACATCAACCACATTCTTACATTCAATTTTCTGCTTCATCTTTCTCTCTCTTACCCCTCAATATCAGTATATAGCTTCACATTGCCGCTTTCCGAGCTTATAGACCAGAACCATCATCCTCATCGCTCTGCTCTCTGTTCGCTCTGCTTCTGCAACATCTCCTAGCTGAGGTACGTATTGCTCTGTCCTACTACTTCATGCTTCGTTCTCATCTTCGGCCTTTTGTTCTTCTTCGTACAAACTCTGTTTTGGAGCTGAAGTATCCCCCATTGGCCGTACACTGCGATCTGCTCCTGGAAATTATAAAGCGATGAATGTATCTTGCTTGAGCTGGAAATTTCTGTTTCTTTCCTCCCTAAAACTTTGATTAGATCTTCCTCATCTTTTCTTTAGGCTCAATGTTCTTGTTTTGATAATTGTCCTTCTTTTTGAAAATCTTTTGGGAATCTGCCTGACACATGGATTGAGTCATCGAGCGTGAAACCCCCCCTTTCTCGCTTCTCACGATTTGACCGTCGCTTCAAAAAGTTACCATCAGTATTACTTTTCGCTGAAAAAGTTTCATTTATTTATTGTTTGCAAAAGAAGCAATTTTTTCAAGAGACATCAGTAAAAAGGTCACTGTTCAGTAAATATTCTATTTTATTGATAGCTCGCTTAAGCATCAAAATTCAAAACATTATGAGCGTTAAGTGCACTACTAATGGTTTTTCCTTTTTCAATTCCTTTAAACTGTTTTGTATAATTGGATCCTTTTATTATCAGCAAGAAGAATGCATAATCTGAGCTAATTAAAGTAGTGTTTGGAGTAACCAAAAGTACTTTTAAAAAATATTTTTTTACGGATCGAGACAAATTCTTCTATATATTTATTTTGTATTTATTTTATATACAGTAAAAATATTTTTAAAATCATAATTTTACTTCAGTTCAAAACACTTTTTTTTTTTGACCGAAAAAAAACACCCCTTATACTTATATTATAGTATACTTATTGTGCATTCTAATGTTGTCAAATTTATGGGCCATAATCACATATCACAAATTCAACGCCTGTATTTTTGGTAGCTATAATATTTAATTTTTCTCATGTGATATCACAAGGGTTTTATTATTTCTTAATTAATTAATCATATTCTGTCCATTCTCCCTGTCACATGAAAAAACACATATCCGTGAACATTCTGGTGAACTCAGAGTCAGTGTTATCAGTTTTGAAAGAGTAGGTAAGCGAAATGCAGTGTCCATGAGACTCATACAACATATTAATACCTTGTATATTACAAGTTTTAGGGGTTAAAAAATGGTCTTTATTTTGGGTATTTAATAAATCCTGCATTGAATCTAAACGGAGATTATTTAGCGACCTGGTATTTATTTGATTTAATGCTCATGTGTTTTACGACATGGTGGTCCAATGTGCCTCATTTGTTCATCAATCTCAAATATTTCGCAGGGGAAGCATAATTGTTGAGAAGGATTAATATATTTTTTTTTGGGAACATATTTGGTTGAAGGACGTGGAAGGACACGGGGGAGTTATTGTGGTAACAGTGACCCTTCGCAGTATTTATATATTTTGAACAGTTGACTGGAGAGGGCCAGAAAGAGAAAAGATGCTGTCTATGAGAAGAAGACTTGCTTGCTGCAGCAGGGAACGGAAAATTAGCATTGATTTTGACGAAAAAGAAAGTAAGTGCTTGCCATTACTTTGAGAACAGAACAAGACTATTTCGCTGATTAATATATTAAAACAATATTAGACAGGTCGTAATCAATCAATATAGTTTTTGAGTATTTGCTATTTTTCTTTTAAATAATAAACATGACTAGTAGATAGAGTACTTGTTACGGCTTAAGTAAGTGGTGAAAAAAATTCCTTCCATATGTTGTGCTTATTGAAGAACTTCATCCCATTTCACAAAAACAAAAGAATTTCATTGCCCAAAAAAAAAAAAGAAGAGTTCGTAATAGCAGTATAAGATCGAACTAGAAAATCTTATAATCAGGGTGCTGCTCTTTATTTCGATAGATATGGACAGAAATAGGGGCAGTTAGATTTGAATTTGAAAATTCCCATTGCCTCAGTAGTATTCTACCGCTAACAATCAAAGCTCTCATTTATTAGTGGAAGCCTTACTGCTGTAGGACACATTTAATCCTTGTTTGACAAAATCCTCCCCCCTTCCTTCTGTGGGTTTTTTTTTTTTTTGGGGAAGGGGGGGTTTGTCTGAACAAACGAGCTGCGTTGTGGCCAAAAGAAGACCAGACAAGTTAAATTAATTGAATGGAAGGTTTGGAGACTTAATGAAGCCGGATGAGTAGGGGGGAGAGACAGGGAATAGTGCAAGCAGAACTGTAGTGGGTTTTGAATCTTTTGAGTAGGCAGGAGCAAGAACGAGTGGAAGTTGCAAGGTATCACTAACTTTCTGTGACCGACATGATGGTGGACCCTTGGGTAAGCCTTCAGGATAGAGCTGCTATTAATCATAACAACTACTACCTGCTACTTTGTATGCTGAAGTAAATTAGTGCAGAGTGGGAACACCAGAGTCGTCGCCTTCAAGAACTCTGGTCCTGAAAACTTTATTGGATTACTTTCTCTTTGGACGGGTTCTCTCCAAGGGGGATTCTCTTCTTTCATCTGAGCCTTCCCTTTTGTCCTCATTTTTTGGTTTCCTTCGAATTCGATGCGGTGCTGTCACTAACCCGGAAGCTTCTTATTTATTTTTTCATTTGTTCCCATTCGAGTCTTCGTCGTTTGTGACGTTTGAGTGATATCGGCCACCACTTTTGGTGATCCCTAGTGCTCCTCCTTCACCTAACACCAACAAAGCTTGCAAATTTACCTTTGCTTCTACGTTTTCATGCCCGGAAGCAAGGCTTGGCTTAAGAAAGTCCCAATTTCTATGTATACTTGAAGTTTGTCTGTGACATATTGGCCAAGCGTTTTTCTAGCCCCTATTGAAATGTGATACTCCCGCCTCCCGGAAGAAATTATCCTACTTGAGATTTTTATTGACCAATCTTAGTTGAGATTATTTTATTATGGTCGGAGACAAAAAGGCCACGTTATAGAGTCGTAATACGTCTAATCCAACTGATGACACTCGCATGTGATTAGGTATATTTTATCCACAATACGGACAAATTTGACAAATTTCAAGTGTGAACATCATGGGTTATTCCTGCTAGATCTGTCATTGGGTTTTGAGGACTTTTTTTTTTTTCTTTTTTCTTTTTCCCCAAAAGAAGACTATGCAGTGAGGGTAAATTCTGGATCTAAACAAGTTATCCGTTGAGGAATAATCAGACTGTCCGACGTGAAGATGTAATTTAAAAGTTAACGATTATAAACAAATTGGAGGGAAAATATAAGTAGCGTTATTAAATGTGAGTACTAGAAAGAATGGAATACGTAGTCAAACTTGCACCGGGTCCCATCAGTTTGCTATAATAATGACTGGCAGGGACGTTTGACCTTTTGGTGAGTTATGATGTCCGTGACAGAGAAACGTTGAAAATAGAGTCTCTACTCTCTACTACTCTACTGTTTATTCTTCATGTATAACTCTTAATGTCTAAATATTTGCGAGGAATGTCGGGACTTTTATTCGAAGATCTTTTGTATCATGTTATTAGCTGTTTCAAATTTCTGGCAAATAATATTTCCGAAGTTGCTATTGAATCTATCAATCATAATTTTGTTGAAATAGCATCAGCAAATCGTAATCATGTAGCAAAGTTCAATTTATTGGACTTTTAAGCTTTGAGCATGTTGACATATTGCCACTTTTCCTTTTTGTTTCCTAATACGCTACTTTTGGCCGCATGCCTGCACAACTCATTTGTCCAAAGTCAGTGAGAATATATTCTTGCCCCATTTCAAGATTGACAGGCTGACAGCTAGCTACGTTTAAATTTCTTTTTTTTCCCCCCTTGATTATTTGGTTATATTACCAAGTTAACTATACCAACTGCTGGAAGTCATATTTTATTTATGCAATGTTTCAGGGATTATGACATATGATGGCCTTGAGAGTTGCATTCTCAATAACCAATCTTTTGAAGATGAAAGCAGAACTAGTAGGGGAGATGGATGTATAACTGATTCCATTGACGATGGCTACTCCAGCTGTTCATCAAGCAAGGATGGTTTTGGATCGTTCTCTTCAAAATGTTTGACTATGAAAAGAGATGAGCAAGGACTGGATGAATGGGAACTCTCCGAGTCTCCCCAACATTTTTATGTCAAAGAGAAGAGATCCTATACAATTCAGTATTCAGATGTAGAAGCCATGAAAGAGAAGTTTGCAAAGCTATTGCTAGGAGAAGATGTTACAGGAGGAACTAAGGGCCTCAGCACATCTTTAGCATTGTCTAATGCCATCACAAACCTAGCAGGTTTTCTCTACGTCCATTTTTTCTTTTAGTTTTATTCGTAAACACTGGAAAATCATGTTTCATCACAGAAAATAAGTTATTAGTTGGGATGTCAAAGCTTGTAACGAAAGAAACTTATTGACTGAAAGCTATATCTGCAGCACTAGAAGTTTACTTCCAAGAGAACATACACTGTTGGTCATTCAATTTTTCTTCTGGCTTTAATCTTAAGCCAATCTGATCGTGAGGTGAAATTATGCAGCAACTATTTTTGGTGAGTTGTGGAAATTGGAACCCCTTTCCGAAGAAAGGAAGAGCAAATGGCGAAGGGAAATGGACTGGTTGTTGTCTCCTACAAATTACATGGTCGAGTTAGTTCCCGCTAAGCAAAGTGGTGCCAATGGGGGGATGTTTGAGGTATCTTCTAGTTTAGATGGTCAGGAAAGGATATTTTTCATCTCTGATTCCAGGAAAATGAGAGTCATTCTTTCTTACGCAGATAATGACCCCAAAAGCTCGTGCAGACGTCCACATGAATCTTCCAGCTCTTCAGAAGTTGGACTCCATGCTAATTGTAGGTGACCTCTTTCTTCTAATCAAAGAATATAAAATTTCTGCCCTGTAAGTATATTAATCCATCTTCTTCTTTCTTTCTTTTTTTTTTTGTGTGTTTTAATTGACAGGAGGCACTAGATTCGATGGTGAATACAGAGTTTTGGTATGCAGAGGGTGGAAGCCGGGCGGAAGGAAGGAACACAGGTGCAAAACAAAGCAAAAGATGGTGGTTACCATCACCCCAAGTTCCAAAAAATGGGCTTTCTGACACTGAAAGAAAGAATCTACTTCATAGAGGGAGGGTTGTAAATCAAGTATACAAGGCCGCCAAATCTATCAATGAAAATGTGTTGCTTGAAATGCCAGTACCAACAATTATCAAGGACGCCCTTCCAAAGGTGATTGAGATTAACTGTAGATTTTATTCAATCTGAAACTGAAATGACCTGCATTTTCTCAGCCAAATTGTTTTTGTTGGTAGTTGCTAACTCAAAATTGTATAACATTTCAAGAAACATCCCAAAAGTGGAGCTGGAGGTGAAATGAGTCATACGGAAAAATGACGGGATTATAAACATTTTTTTCTTTTTTTCAAACACATTTAATCAGCGTTTTGGTTCTTGGATTAAGAAAACTGCATCTAACCTTGGATCATGAGAAAGCACGGAACTTCTATGATTTTTAATTAAAAAATCGCAGTCAAAAGTATAAAGTGAATTTCTTTCTCTCTTTCTGTTTTGGGAGATGTATTGCATTAAAATTGCATTACTAACTAAATATGTTTACATGTTGCAGTCTGGAAAGGCAAGCCTTGGAGAGGAACTGTATAAAGTGTTGACATCTGAACTAAGCTCTGGGGAGGAAATGCTTAAATCTCTTCAATTGAAATCTGAACACAGCGCCCTTGAGGCCATAAACAAATTAGAAGCTGCAATATTTTCATTGAAAGAGAGAATGAAGGAAAAAGTTAGTGGCAAATCCCCGGTTCGAACGTCCTGGTCTTTTACAAAGGATCCTACGTCAGCTGTGGATAGGATGGAGTTACTGCTGGACCGTGCAGAAACACTTGTGCAGCTTCTTAAAACCAGATACCCAAACCTTCCTCAAACATTTCTTGATGCCACTAAAATTCAATATGGCAAGGTAAGTCTCGTACTTAACACTATAATGCATTCAAATATTTCTGATTGAGTAAATAAGAGATACAGAGAGAGGGAGAGGACTAGAAGCTTACAGGGACCATAAGGTACTAACCATATGACAATATTGTTATTTTTTCTTTGTCCGTAGGATATTGGGCATTCCATTTTGGAAGCATATTCCAGGGTTTTGGGAAACTTGGCCTTCAGCATACTTTCTAGAATCGGAGATATACTGCAAGAAGATGCTTTAAGCAACCCCAATTCCCCTGCGGCAACAAGTTGTTCTCCTAGTATAAGTCTCTCTCAGACTTGGGTGGTTGGTTCGCACATCAGGCAATCCCTTATTGATAAGATGAACAAGGCAGATGGACAGTACTGTGAGTCTAGTTGTGGTAGTAATTCTGATTTAGAACTTTCATCTATAGACGTCAAGACAAGTTCTGTAACTCAAACACCAAGTCGTAGTCGAGTGTGGTGTATTGGCAAAGAGGTTTGTACAAGTGCCTCTCCACAAAATTCGCCATAATGGTATCAAGCCGCAATTTTTGTAAAGCTTACTTATTGTCGTTCTTTGTTCAATGAAGCAGAAGCAAACTGATATAGGTTTGCCTTAGCATTTGTAGACTTTGGGCATATGCTCATTGTTAAGACCTGAGAATTTTTCTTGTGAGGTAAGTACAATCCTTATCATACATTATGGTTGTATAAAATTACCTAGCGATAGAAATAATTATTAGAGTGAGGAAAATTTGCCAAGAAAAGGATTCCCATTTTGCATGGTGACCTGATATGCTTGCCTGCATCACTACATGAATCAACACCTGGAAAACTGAGAGATGAATTTCATGCACTCGAGCGAACTGACAATGTTTACGATAATTAATGAAATCTTGACGTTTGACTCTATAGCAAGAAATGTCACGTTGAATAAAATTATATAAATAAACATGACTATTGGACTTCATGCTTTTAAACATTGGGTTGAGACAGGTTAAATTCCTTATTGTAGATTTCTTTTTAAAATTCCATAATAAAGACTTAATGATCGAGATATGTTTGGATAATTGGATTGATGGTAGAGTACTTTTGGTTAAAAAGTCACTTTTAGTCAGACGCTCGAATTTATAGTTTCTCCAGTTTGTACCGTGGAGAGAGAAGAAATGTTGCAAAGAATGAAGATAGAAGAAATAAAAGAGGCCTTTTATGGGTCCCATCTTGTTTTAATGAAAATCAAGATAAAATTACTCTAAAAGACCTATTAATTTAATGTTTGAAAAATATCTTAAGAAGGAAAAAAATTAACCAAGTGTTTACAATTTTTTCCAAAAATATATTATTTTTTATTTGTATAATTTTAATTCTAATATTTTCTTAATGCTATCAAATTACATTCATCTAATGTGTGTATTTAATAAAACGTGTCATTTTCTATCATTTTACATCTAACTCTACTTTTCAATTATATTATATTAATCAAACAAGTTTCAGTTTTTCAAACTGACAAAAAAATCTATAAAATAACTCAACTTCTTTTAGACCAACTCATAAATTTAACATGGCTTGTATCCACATGATAATACCTTGATGGTCTAATTGATTTCGGGTTTGTTTAGAATTGCTATAGAAGCTTTTAAAATTAGCTTTTTAATTGTGGTCTACAGAATACAAAATAAGTATATAAATAAGTTTTATTTTGACTTAGTGCTTATAAACACTTAAGACAAACAGATGCCTACAAGCACTTTGTTGGGTTGGCAAAATTATTAGCCTTAGAATATCAAGGTGTACTTATCCCTGCCACTTTCAGCATGCCAATGACATAGTGAAAATTTATTGTGAAACGAAGCTACAAGACCCATTGAATAAGACTGATTCTAGTTCTCAAATAATTTTATGCATAAATTACCATCGAGCTTGTTTAATCTCAAGGCCTTAGTTTACAGCAACTACATCAGCACACGAAAAAGAAGACAAAATTAATTTTGAAAAGACTTAAACAGTATTATTGGTAGTTCAGTGTCGATCTCCACTGTGATACTATTAGTATCGAGTCTCCATTTTTCTACCACGAAGGAAAGAACTTTTTATTAGATCAAGTTCTCTGGTGACATCCCTCACATTCATTCTTTCTATGGGTGATTCAGCTGAACAAGCAAGTCCAATATAAAAAAGTTCAAGCAGGCACTTCTCCATGGGAATCTGATTAAGTTGATCATTCCTGTGTTTTTCTGCTTCGGCAGATGAAGCTTTTCGTTTTAGTTCTCTGAGGAGAAGTGCAGGGTCCACTATTTGTAACAGTTTATCTGGCAAGACAACCTTGACATATTTACGGAGATTAATACCATCTGTGAACATTTCATCGGTGGGTCTTCTTCCAGTAAGCATTTCCAATAAAAGAATCCCAAAGCTATAAACATCACCTTGTGTTGAAACTTCACCTCCCGTTCCATACTCTGTGATTCATGTATTTGACAGTCAATATTCTAAACCTCAAAAGAAGAAGAAGAAGAAGAAATGTAACTTAGTGTTTCTAAAGATTACAATGAGGGTTTGCAACATTTAGAAGTTAAATATTATTAAACTGTACCTGGAGGTGCATAGCCAATGGTTCCCTTTATTCCAGTTGTGCTACTTTGATTTTGAGAGATACCATTAATAGTCCAGATAAGCTTTGCTAATCCAAAGTCACCTACATGACCAACCATGTCATTGTCAAGAAGGACATTGCCTGGCTTCAAATCACAATGAACAATTTGCTGCTCATTTTCATGGCGAAGATACTCTAGTGCAGAACTAACATCAATGACAATATTCAGTCTTTGGAGAAGGTCTAATGTTCTTGACTGATCTTCACTTTCAAACTCTGCATGTAACCATTTCTCCAAGCTTCCATTTTCCATGTATTAAAAAACTAAAGCTTTAAATTCATCGCCTTTGAAATCCGTACTAGAGCAACATGTTAAAATCTTAACCAGATTTCTGTGCCGGATGTTTTTGAGTGCATTACATTCAGCAACGAAACCCTTCTTAGCTCCCTTCTTTTGAAGATTCAGAACCTTTATAGCAACAACTCTACCTTCTGACTCAAAATTTCCCTTGTATACGAAGCCAAAAGCACGGGATCCTACCAAGTTATTTGAAGAGAAGCCATCAGTTGCCTTATGCAGTGTCTGATGAGAGACCTTGGATAGTTGGTTTCCATCCACTGTGAGTGAGGTAGAAGAATTTCTTTGGCTTATTTTTCTCTTCCTGTACACAACACCAAAGGATAATAACAGAATAAGAAATAGAACCCCAGAAATTACTATTAATATTATCTTCCAAGCATGAAGTTTGTTATGTTTCTCAACAACTTCTTCAGGGCATGGTGGTAGATTTAGTGTTGTAATGCCCCCACAGAGTTCATTGTTTCCTTCCAATGATATTGAACTTGCGTTTCGAAAGATACCTCCAGTTGGTACTTCTCCATCTAACATATTGAAAGAAACATTCAAGTACAACAGAACAGAAATATCCTCCAGACCTTCTGGAATTGATCCGGACAACTTGTTTTCAGAGAGATCTAAATATTGAAGGCCTCTCAATGAGGCAAGAGTTGAAGGTATGGTTCCTTGGAAAGAATTCCCTTCTAAGTTAAGGTATTCCAAGACTATGCATTGGGCAATTGTTCCTGGAATTTCACCAGACAGAGCATTTCTAGAAACATCTAACTTACTGATGCTTTTAAGGTTGCCAACCTCAATGGGTAGGCCGCCAGTAAACGAGTTGTGAGATAAGTTCAGTAACAATGATAAGTAGGGAAGTCCAAATATCTCAGAAGGAATAGCTCCACCAAGGCTGTTATCTGAAAGTTCCAGGTACTGTAAATTTTTGCAATTTTCAATACTAGGAGGAATGCTTCCTTCTAGCATGTTATGTGACAAGTCAAGTTGAAACAACTGACCAAGGTTGCCCAAGGACAATGGGATCTCTCCTGACAGTTTGTTCACATTCAAAGTCAACGACTGCATCTTCTGAAACTTCCCAAAAGAAGCTGGAATAGACCCTTGGAGATGGTTGAGCTCCAAGTCCAATGCAATCAAGTTAACGAGATTTCCTAATCCTACAGGTATAGTCCCAGAAATCTGATTGCCACCTATATAGAACTGACTCAATTGACTTGACAAATTGGCTACAGATTTGGGTAAAGAACCTCCAAAATTGTTCAAATTTAATTCCAACACCCGCAATTTGGTGCAGTTTGTCAAAGATGTCAAGAAATCCAAGTCAGCGTCTGAACCATTTCCTAGAAAATTGCGACCCATAGCCAGAGACCACAAATCTTTGAGGTTGCCTATACCGGTTGGAACCTGTCCTACAAAGTTGTTCCTTGGAATGTTAAATAACAGCATGCTGGTTGCATTTGAAATGGAATTTGGTATGGTGCCTGAGAATTTGTTCATCCCGATACCAAATTGTTGGAGATTTGGTAGGGTGAGGAACATGTTGGGTGGTAAAGATCCATTGAACTGGTTGGCTCCAGCTGAGAAAAAGGTGAGCGATGACATATTGTAAAGTGAAGAAGGAAGCATACCAGACAGCTTGTTTGATGCAATAGAGATGTGAGCCAAGTTCTTCAAAAGGCCTATCTCTTCTGGCACACTTCCCTCCAAGTTATTAATTCCCAAAGAAAGAATACTTAAAGAAGAAAGGTTTCCTATGGAAGGTGGGATTTCACCTGTCAGATTGTTCATAGCAAGATATAACTGCTCCAAATTTGACAGAAAGCCAAGTTCCAGAGGTATTTTTCCAACTAGTTCATTTCCCATCAAGCTCAAGGTCCTCAATCGCGAACACTGAGACAAGTTGGTCGGGATTTGTCCCCTTAAAGTGTTATTTGTCAGGTATAGTTGCTGCAGCCGATACAGACGACCTATTTCTTGTGGGATCTGACCATAAAAGCTGTTGTTTTGAAGGTTGATGTACCTAAAAAACGTAAGGTTGCCAATCTCAGGTGGTATGAACCCAGCCAAGTTATAATCTTGAAGGTTCAAGGATGTGACTCTTTGATGTCTGAGGCTGCATGTGATTCCTTGCCATCTGCAAAAGTGAGTAGACCTATTCCAGGAGTTCAGGACATTTATATGGGTCACTTTCTATTGCTTCCTTAAACTTGAACAATGTCAACTGGTCTGTGTCATTCCCTAATGCTCTGGCAGTGATCCTAGGTTGGAGCCCTATTAGGTTGGCTGAAAAGAGAACCACAGGGAGACATATGGACCAGAATGCATGCACGTGAGAAGAGGAAGGAGGAGGAGAAGAAGACGAAAGCTTCATTTTGTTGAAAATCAGGAAGCAAAATTATGTGTGACTGGTATCTGATAACATTGAGATGTACAATGCGGTTATTGAAACAAAGTTCTCTGGTGACATCCCTCATATTCATTCTTTCTATGGGTGATTCAGCTGAACAAGCAAGTCCAATATAAAAAAGTTCAAGCAGGCACTTCTCCTTGTTAATCTAGTTTAGTGGCTAAAACTATCATTATTAGAAGAACTATTTGGGAAAAAAATAGATAAATATAAGAGGCAAAATGAACTAAGATCTTGACAAAAATAACAGTTAAAATGGATCTTATATTAAGGACCGGACGTAATATTAAAATTAAAAACCATACTCTATAGTTCAGTCAATTAAAGTGATAAGTTTTCAGATCTGTAAAAGGCATAGTTCATACCTGCGCTCTCTCTCAAACCAATAACTGTCATTGCACGGATACATTTTTTAAAAATATTTTTTGCAGAATAATCGTAGATGATCTGTAAATCAAGTTCCAAGTTCTTCATTTTCTAATATATCCTCTAAACCCTGAAGAAAGTGCTTGCATCAGCATTTTTATTAGTATTGTTATTGCCCAGAGCAATTAGCGGAGGGTATGACTCTAGTGTTATAATCCCACCACTTATTAATCACAAAATAAACATATTAATGTCAAAGATGATTTAACAAAACTTGACATGCTTAGATATAAATTTTAAATTAATTTGGTGGGACTGAAAATTTTTAGATGATTTGGAGTTTGTTCTTCAAACTCTAGCTCGCTGTTGGACTTTGTTCTTTTGGAGTGATAATGAAGGGAGCATTATAATGAGATTGCATACTTATTTACTTCATACGAGATTCAATTATTATGGGAAGATTCCTTCGCAGCGTGAATATTTTCATCGGGTTCAGTAATTTCGGTTTGAACATATAATGCAATTTTGGTAAGTTGTTTTGGTTGAACAATTAGTAAACTTATAATTAGGGGATGGGACAAGAAATTCATGAACTTTTCTATGGGAGAGGGAGACGAGTTTAATTTTCTTTTTATCTTGCATAGTGTGTTGAGTTGAGAAATATAGAAAGTAATGAAATTTACCCATTAAATCTAAACAATATGTTTAACTTTATAGGTCGCTTTTCAATTAACCATGCAACAGTTGAAATTAAAGAAACTCATAGTTAGAAATAACATGTTATTACGAAGAAATTAGATTACTCACACACCTGGTTGATTCAAATTTGCATTTGAGACCTATGAAGAAAATACACAGTTTTCATATTAAAAATATATATTATTTAAGATTCAACTTTAAATGTCATGACGAAAATGCCGCATTAAAATCTAAAATTATGTTTAATTTTAGAAGCCAAGCACAAAGGATACTCTTAATGTTGCAAGGTCAATAGCATTTTTTTATCATAGTGTCAGAAATATATTTTTAAGAATTTTAAAATAGCTTCTAAAAGTGGGGTATTAGAAAATGGATAACTCTAATGTAGGGTCCTTAAATGTGATTTTTGCATCTAGAAAAAGGAGCAGAGTGATATTGGGCTTGGGTAAGGCCCAAACCAATAGTTTAGCTTTGATGATATTTTTTAGGCTCACTACGGGGTGGTAGGAGAAAAACCTTCAAAGAATAAAAAAAGAAAAAACAACCTTATTATTGAATCATTTTTAAGGATAGAAATATATACTCCCTTCATACTGTAAAATCCTTTTTCACGGTCCTTGATATAAGTGTATTTATCTAAAAATTTATTAAAAATGTCATTTGACTTGATAAATTCTTACTAATATAGCAACCTCCTGAATTAAATTTTACTGAGGTTAATATTAAAATTTTAAAATCCCTAGTTAATTTGAATTGAATTCATTGTTGTATGTCATGTTAAAGTTATTAACTTCTGACCCCAAAAAAAAAAGTTAAAGTTATTAAAAAATGCGAGTACGAATTGTAGGTCACTTTGAATTTAAGATAAAAGAATAATACTTACCAGTTATATCTCTTCAATTAACGTGGAAAATACAAGTTTATTAAGAATAATAAATTATATTTTAAATAAGAAGTTACAATGCATAAATCAATTTATGAGTTAGAGTTAATATTTTATCATCTGAAATTTAAAAATTTAACCCAAAAAGGGAGCTTGTAGAAAATAAGGGAAAAATCATTTGTAGTGTGTATCATCATTTTAAATCTATCCATATGATATGATGTTGGGGACCCCTGCCCATACATTACAATGCCCTACATAATCCTTTTCTTCAAAAGTTAATAGTATTGAAAAAAAGATCATCAACTTACTATTACTTGACTGAATAAATAACAAACTTAAATTTAAAAAAAAAAAATCCCTGATGAAACATCTTAAAAATTCCTTTTATTTTCAGATATAAAAATTATGATTTTCTATTAATTTGTAAAAATAATTTTACTATTTTTGGTGAAGTCATTAACTAATTTCATTGAGAGAAAATAAATTTTAATAGCTTTTTAATATTATAACCATTATTTATTTATATTTCTGTCAACGTTGGAAAATAATAACATAAATTTCTTGGCATTATAAAGTTAAAACCCACATGTTCTTATGCCATAAAAAACATTATTATCAATTTCGAAATCTGTCCATTATAAAAATCAAGGACTTAACTTTTTAAAGGAAAAATCAAATGAGTAAACTTTTGTCTTGAAAATAATTTAATTTTTCAAAAGATGTTTCATCATAAATTTTTCAAAAGATAGTTAATTATTTAAAAATAAAAGAGAAGAGAAGAGAAGAGAGTGAATAGTACTTTTTCATGTAAAAAAATTGAATCAATCCAGCCTGGGCAGGTATGATTGGATCCGGACGCATCCACACTAAAAAGTTTCAGATGAAATAAAAATATTATTGCATGTTTGAAAAAAATATTAAAATAGGGATTGGATCCGGACTTCCATGTTGCAGTAACATTAGCAATTAAGGGGCAGTGGACTTCCACGTTCCATTCCTTCCTGTACAGTGTTTTTTTTTAAAAATAACACTTGCTTAAAAAATTTGATTATTGATAAAGATTTAACACATGGTTAGTGGGAAAATGAACAATAGAGGGACCAAATTATGGCCAAACCAAAAATTGCATATTTGCCACATTGCAGCAAAACCATGCTGCTATATTGCCAATGTTACTGCAACAAATTTGAATTTGAATATTTCAGACTACTTTGCACCAGAAACCAGAATCCTTTCTGACTGCGTTTCCCTGAAAATATGCACTCACACACACACGCATATATATATATATATATATATTGTCCTGGTTATAGATTTCATGCATTTCCGTGATTGCTGACACAGACAAGCACATTTTGTCAAAGAGACAAGGACATTTTGTCAAAGATACTCTGCCAATCTGCAATTTCAGTCCCCACCACCTTTACTCATTATTCTCACCCACATTCAAACCTAACATCAACAAACAGGCTCACTGCTGGTAAAACAAAAAAAAAAAAACAGGCTCACTGCGCCATAAGAAACAACTGATCAACGATCAAAGCAAGTCGTAACTCTTCCACATTAACACAAGCATCCTCGACATATTCAAAAGCCGAAAAAATGATACAACTTGAAGAACTAGCCTGAAACATATTTACAATATTCCTCAAGCTAAAAAAAAAAAAAAAGTGCTCTGACTTGCACAAAATGAAGTTTGGCAGAGCCAGAGAGCAGTTCAGATTATTTAGTAAAATAGTCATTGGCACAATGACAATACCCGCATATATGACTGAACTTATATAAAGCCTGGTCACAGTGGGCAGAATTTAGCAACTTTTCCAGGAGCCCTGGTTTATGAAAACTGCCCACTTCACTTCAGTTCTCGGTAGGTATCGAATCAGCAATGCAGATGTCCCCACGGCACAATGGGCATACCCTGCAGATTAGTAAAATAAAGCAATCAGGGTTCTGCTCATCCATCTTTCTATGAATTGCCAACTACCAGTTCTAAGGACAACAGGTTTAGAGGAAATCAGGAACATCAAGTTTCTGACGACAGCATTTTTTTTTTTGGATGAAACGACAGTGTTATTTTGATGAAATTTTCTGCTTTCCTCCCAAAGATCTTATTATTTTGACAATAATTGCATGGGTGTAAGTGCCAACATAACATTTGGCAAAAGGAGCTGAGGATTCCAGCCAAAAGTAGCTTAATCAGGGATTGAACTGACGATGGATAATTTACATTCCACTGTTGAAGTGGCCCCTATTCAATAAGCTGAAGTTATTCATCCGTGTTCCTCACTCTTCTGGGCCACCTATTAGATACACCTACTAGATAAACTTCCAAGTCCTTGACATGCATAATAGAATACAGCATTCTCAAATGTAATGTAAGATGAAAATTCATTCTCGGAGCTTTCAAGCACACAATATTCAGAGACAACACCAGATTTCTCATACCTGTGAATCTCCTTTAGCCACTTGTCTATGCATGTTAAATGAAATTCATGATGACAAGGTAGTACTCGCATGTTGTCTCCATCCTCATATTCCACAAGGCATATATAGCATCTGCGAAAAGAAGTTAATAAAGGCCAAGTGATTTGTGGCGTGTTACTCACAGGAGAGAAAAAACGAAAGAGTTATAATGAAATGAAAAAAAATAAAAGGGTAGAGATAACAGGGGAGGAGAACAAGACATTAAGAGCATTTGATAAACCAAACACCAAGTTTTGGTTGTGGCTTTTTGTGTAAACCCAGACACTTACTGAGCAGCATCCTCTTGATGTTTATGCAACTTTGTGTATAATTTGACAGGCAAGGATTCTACAACTTCATAAGGTGCAGGAACAGATCCAATAGAAGAAACAGAAGGGCGGGAAGATAAAACCACTGATTGCTGGTGAATTTCATCCAGAACCTAATTAAGATATAGATAAAATATTCAACTTGAATAAATAGATAATAATATGCATCAGAATAGCTAAGAGCAACTTAAAACTACCTCAAATAAGGCTTCAGCAAGCATAACAATTCTTGATATGCTAGCTCTAGCCCCAGTATCATCATTTGAATTGGCATCACGACCACTACTACGGCATGTACAACGACCATTTCTATGTTGGCCGGATAAAATACATGACCTGTCATGCCCAGACAGGTTTTCAAATCGGCTGCCCAATCGTTGAAGAGCACGGACCTAAAGCATTTTATATGGGGATCAGACATAATTTATAGTCTAGTGTGTGGAGGGAAGAGAATGAGATCATGATAAATGTTCTTAAAGAAGTAACCCGAGTCATTAAGGTTCAATTCATTCACTTTAAGTTGCTCAAGCTCAATTACATCAAAAACAACCTCAGCACCTCCCTGAGTGGGTCACCACCATTTTCTTTCTTTCTTTCTTTCTTTCTTTCTTTTTTTTTTTTTTTTGCCTAAATGCATTGTATCTAGTTCATGGTTTCTGCTTTTCTTTCCTTTCTTTTTTATACAGCTAAAAGATTATGCTTCTTACTAGGTGGTAATATGAAATCATTAGTGATTGCAGTAAGGAGGAGGGGGACAAGCCACAAACCTGGGACCGTATTCTTCTTCTCCGTTCCAGGAAATTGGATCTGTTTTCCAGCAGATCACGATACCTAGGTTCTCTTGATCGTGAAGACTCGATCTCATAGTCTTGGATCCCAAACAAGGAGCTAGACATGTTGGATGGAGGATATCCAGATGTAGAGGGGGAACTTGTAGAGTCACTATCAGATGGGAGCACTCTTGACTCTCTCTCCCCTGCTTGTCTTCCAATATCTTGACCAGCATCTGTTGCATCCCTTTCTTGTTGCAGTGGGCAAAAAGTGAAGTCTGATATTGTTGATCTACGAAGGACCCTATCACGAAGCCTTCCAACACTCAGAGTACGACTAAAGCGAACATTCCGTTCAACAGGTTCTCGAGCTCCACTTCGGCGATCGTTATGTCTCATCTCAACATTTTCAGTTCTGGCATGAATTCTTGGAGAAAATAAGTTAAGATTTAACGCTTCTCTTGCACCATCTTCATCTCTACTCATACTCTGCATAGAAGAATTTGTTGAATTGCTCTGCAAGGTGCCATAGGAATCTGATGAAGGGTTGTTAGACCTTAAATTAATAGGAGTGTCTTCATAGCAATGTGATGCAGGAAGCAAGTCACTGCATTGTAGAGCTTCATTTTGATTAGCAAAGCTACAAGTTGGTCCAGGCTGTGGATTAAGGTCATCTTCATTGTTAAACATTGAGAGACCTGCAGAAGAAACAGGGCAAGGCCGTGATGACCCCAAACTTGTGGTTCTGCTTAGTCTGAAGCTTACGTTGCCAGGAATAAGGCTAAACCGAGAAAGGAGTCGACTTGAAGGGTTCAAAGACTGAGTTGAAGCTGGATGATCAGAACTGCTACCAGCTCTAGATGCAGTGTTAGAAATGCTTGTTTGACTCCACTCATCAAGGTGGACATTAGGAGAGATACATCGCATTTTATCAGATTTAATCTTTCTGAAAGACTCTGATATCACCTCATCTGCATCTGTTTCATCCCCATTGGAGTATGTAACATTACTATCGTTTTCTTTATTCTGATCACACACCTAAAGCATGAACGCCAAAGCATAGTTAGCACCACAAGCCATAAAACATTGACCAACAATAGCAGCTATTTAGACATGATTACACCGATCTACAATCTAAGCAAGCTGTATCTAGGAATCAATACAGGGGAGAAAATATTGGGGAAGAAGTATTACATTATGCTTCATAAGCAAAGTTCATTAATTTATGTCCAATATTCCATTAATAATCAACTTATTGATTCACATGACTCCCTGCAGAAAATTACACGGTAAGAAACATGGCTACCTTGAAGACCAAAAGAAGGAGAAAGCAAATTACAAACTCAAACAAGAACGTCTGTTTCCTAGTCCCAATATGTGAGAATAGCAACCAACTTTTAGTGTTTAAGAACTACCAAACTATAATAAGATTGAATTTGAAAGATGCACTGCTTCAATATAGAAAGGTAACAAATGGAAGTTGTAATTATCGGCCGGCCAGAAGTGATACTCTGGAGAATAATTTATATTTTATTCCATGGCATAAAGAATGCCGCGCTTAAAGTGGCGCTGAACACCAATACACCTGAGTAGTAACAGCCAACCTGACCAGATAATATAGACACAACCATCCCTTGTAGATAATGGTAAAAAGTGTCCTACATACCAGAAGAAAATAAACATGAAAAAGCCAAATTACTTGAAGTTTTTGAATTTGAATTTTGATTGTATCAAATTTGATTTATCTGGCAGTCAACGTAAGAAGAGAACAAAAATTTAAAAACCCTCAGCAGCGTGGTCCGAGTGGCAAACTCCATTTCAAAATCTGGATATATCAACCACCCCCAAAATATACTAGGTAAAATGAGGGAGGCGAGTATGAGAAATTTCCAGCGCTCCAAATGCAAAACCAAACCAAGACATTACAAAAAATGCTGCAACATAGCGATCATAATTTAAGCTCAATATTAGAAGGGGGAACTTAAAAAAAAAAAAAACAGAGAGGGGGGGGGGGGGAGAGATTACTAAGCTTAAGGAATAACAGAGTGAGCTACCTGGTCGTCATTGTCACTGTCATGAGATCCAGATGTTGTTCCTAAACAATACGACTGAAAACTTTTATGCCCCCTCGATCGACGCTTACGAAAGCTGCCCGAAGACGACGACTTCGACGATGAATTGCAAGAAGCAACGGCTTTACTACCACTGGATCCCATTTACCCAACAAACAAACAATGCCACCGGAAGTCTCAAAAAGAAATGCTCAAGCTTCGACTCAAAAACATCAGAACAAAGAAATCAAAACGCGTCCTTTTCAAGATCCCAAATGTTTCAGATCTACATAGATGGAAAATCAAAGGTCCAAAACCACTCGGTCTTGCGGTGTTGGAAGAATTAATGAAATGTACTGATTAACCGTGAAATGGGTCCAAATAACAGATAATGTTAGTGGAGAGTAAGTGGTAGAGAAGAGAAGGTAAAGGTCTCGCATTTAGGTGGAGATGGCAGTCAGTAGCTGGATGAATGGGACAAAGTAACTCGCAGGGGAGAGAGAAGAGGGAAAGGAGGCTTTTTTTCTAAGAAAGTGTGTATTACTTACGGAGAAGACACGAATCACTGGCGTTTTCTCTGCCTGAATTCCGGGGATTCAAATTATTTTTGGTTTTTGCGGTGCATGCCTGCATTCATGACACTGCCAGTGATTTGAAAATTGAGAAAACTATTGAACGGTTAAATGTAGATTAATTTTATAATTTTCGTGTATCTATGAAGGTATGCAGAATCATCATGGGACCACCGAGTCTCAGTTTAGCTTACACGTCTCTATTAATTTTAAATTGTGTTTGTTACGGGTCAAGTGTCTCAAGCTATATCTAATTTGAATGTTGAACTGACTGCGTGATCTAAGACTCGAAGGCCATTTATGGGGCCCAATTATAGATTGGTGGGCATGTACTGTTACAAAATTAAAAGGGAATATTTATCATTACCACAAAAAGAAAAAAAAAACTAGAGGGATACATGAATATATCGAATTCTAACTTTAGGCCCTTGGGCCCAACTCAAAAATTAGCTCGTGAGTAAGAGGTATCCAAATGATATTTAAATCCTCTGGGTATCAGAACTTCAAGCGATGTGAGATTTCCTCTCTTCACCCTTTCCTACAACTAAGGCTTTGATATCACTTTGAGCCCTTGGGTTTAACCCAAAAACTAGCCTGTGAATAGGAGTTACCCAAAGAATATTTAAACCCTGTAAGTGTCAAGATTTCAGACGATACTATTCTTTTTACTTAAAACAAAGTGTTTCTAATTTGATTGTTTTGAGTTTTATGTGCAATAATAGTTGGTTACGGAAGGTTTGACCTAAATGATATAGCCAAAAGAAGACTGAAATACTCGTAACAGAAATGGGAAACTTAATTGACTGAGGATTCTCGTTCTTGGACTATAGTTTAAATTAAACACAAGTAAGTTGTTGGCTGGAAAAAAAAAGACAATAGATATTCATATGACCATATGCCTTTCACATATGAAGCAGAGATTCAAATCACAGAGTATTCGATGTTAATAGTAGAAATTTCGACATTTTTACCCAAACCCATAAACAGTAAAAGAATTTACCTAGATGCTATAAGGTGAAAAGTATTTACCAAAATACTACATCAGAAATCGTTCTTTAGAAGAACGATTTTAAATTTTTGAAGAAGTCGTTCACCTAAAGAACGATTTCTTCATCTGATATTTTTTTTAAATAAGAAATTGAAATCGTTTTGATACTAACACTTTTATCAGTAAAAATTATAACTAAAAACCCACATTATTGACTTTGCCCTCTCCTTCTATTTTATTTTGAATTTTGATGAGAATTACAATTGATGACCCAATCCTCTCATTACATACTTTTTTTTTTATTTTTTATATTTTCTGCAAAACATGAAAAAATATAATTAAATTTTATAGGAAGATTGTTTCTTATCTTAATAATTAAATTTAAAATTAATATATAAAATAAACTAAATAATATAAAATCTACTCATACTCTATCTGATCTTAGTACAAATCACTTCAACTAATTATCATAATAAAAGAAAATGACAGTCAAGTCAATAAATTTGTCTTAGAATGAATTTTTTCCAACTTTACCATATTAAATGAGGTTTTAGAGGATGGAAAAAAAATAAGGAGCCTTATTTAAACATGAATTCATTAGAACAAAAAATGACAGTTAACTTATTAAATTTGTTTTAAATTATAATTTTTTTTTTATCTTTATCATATCAAATAAGGTTTTGAAGGATGGAGAAAAATATAAAAAGACTTATTTAATTTAAGCATCAAATACATGACAAAATTGACAAATCAATATTAATTAAACTCCAAATAACTTATCTAATAGACCAAAAAACATTTTAAAAGTAACTTATAATATGGATCTTAAGAAGCATATTTTTTATATTTTGTTGAAAATATAAAATAAAGGTCCATTCCATTAACTTTTTTCTTGTAAAGACAATTATATTTGAGAACTTTTTCTCTATAAAATCTAGGATTAATGCACATCTAGTATCTTGAAGTATTTTTTTCCGGTGCATCTAACACCCCAAAATATTTTGTGGTGCATCTAGTATTCTAAAGTATTTTTTGGTAAATCTAGCATTTTAAAGTTTTTTTTAAATGCATCTAGCACCATAAAATATATTTTGGTGCATCCAATACCAAGACAAAAAAATACTTCAGAGTGTTAGATATACCTAAAAAATACTTTTAGATAGTAGGTGCACCACAAAATATTTTACAGTGCTCGTTGCACACGAAAAAAATTTCGGGGCCAGGATGCACTTTAACCCTAAAATCTATTTATATTTTTTCATGTCTTGTAGAAAATAGAAAATAAAAAAAGGTTAATATAAACTTTGGTTCCTCAAATTTGCCTTCAATTTGGTTTTAGTCCATCAAGTTTCTTTTCATTTAAAATATTAGTCCGTATAATCTAATAAAAACTTGGACCATATTACCTCTAAAGGAACCAAAATCTATGGTTTGAAATTTGAGGGATCAAAACCAAAATGAGAGCAAACTTGAGAGACCAAAAATTATATTAACCCTAAAAAAAATGAAAAAAGTATGTGTTGAGGGGATTGAGTCATCAATTATAATTCTCATCAAAATTCATAATGAAATAGAATGAGACGGCAAAGTTAATAATATGGGTTTTTAGTTATGATTTTTACTGAAAAAAGTGTCAGTGTTAATATCGTTCTTTTGCACAACAATTTTAATTTTTTATTTGAAAAAAATGTTAGATGAGAAAGTCGTTCTTCAGGTGAACAATTTCTTCAAAAATTTAAAATCATTCTTCCGAAGAACGAGATTTCTGATGTAGCACTTCAGTAAATACTTCCACCTTATAGCATTTAGGTAAAAAAAATTTATTGTTTATAGGGTTTGGGTAAAAATGCCCAAAAATCTTACATTCTCAGATACTTCTGTGATATATAATGCTGCAGCCTGCAATGATGAGTAAACTGTAACGGTAGAAAATTGCTTAGTCCAATTCAAATTAATTGTCTGAAAAAATGATGAAAAGGAAAAGGCACATCAAGAAGGAAGGAAAGCTTATATATCGCGTTTAGTCATATGCATGCCTGTGAGCAACCCAACCAACCATGTTCTGGTATTCAGAACATGGACATGTTTGTAGCCAGATTGTCCCTATCATGGCATCAAACGTCCATGTCTTTGGGAATCAAAGCACGTCAAAGCATATGGGTTGTGTGTAATGTGCTCTTTTTTTGTGACTTCAAGATTTCTTCACTTCTTTTTGTGGGGGATAGGAGCGGGGGTGTTACTTGGGGATATCGCGATCATCAGATATTCAGATTGGAGATTTTATTGATTTAAAGGTCAGAGGAGGTTGTCCAGCTTTTCGTCCTCGGGGTTCCCATTTTAAAATTCTCCAACATCCCATTCTCTGTTTTCTCTGTGAAGCGTGCTATCAGGCGCCACATGAATGACCAATATAATAATGAACGCTCTCGCCTTTTATGATCTTTTACTGTATGCTACAAAGTTGGTAAGAGACGTTTGGTACGCTGCTCATATCTCAAAGTTTAAAGAGACTTTGATGCGGCCTATTATAAAAGGCCAAGCTTTAGTTTTCTTTTTCCTTTTTCTTTTTTATGGAACCACTATATCCGAATCCTTTTATCAAGAATCCGACTAATCTGAACCAACCCAAATGAAATCCCTCAAACGGGATAGAAGTAAGGAACTGTGCATAGCACTGAATAGGGAGCCACCGAATACACCAGCTATACCTAACATATGAAATGGACACATAAGAATATTGTGTTCAGCCTCCCAATGAGGGTTTTTTCCATACCTAGAGATCGAATCTGATACCTGTCATTAAGGGGTCGAAGTACCCACCATGTTGACTTAACCAGTGTTGGTTGGCACTAAATTGACTGTTATAAGACGACCAATCCATCTCTTCAGTTGCTACTGAATTGGGTTCTTATCAGCTTCTTAAACTGGACGGATGTCTAGTTTCATTTTGTTACCCTCTGTGCGGTTTTTTTAATCACAGCGTTTTATTCCTGCCATGACAATTGTTGTCTTGGAAAAATACTATACCTCGATATTCGACAATACACTTTGGCCAAGATGGCAGGGCGTTGTCAGCTCTTCATTCTTCCCAACTTTGAAGTTTATTCATTCTAAAAACATTAGTAATGGACTTGTTTTCCAGCTTTCCTAAGAAAATGAAGAAATACAAATTACAGAGCATGCCATGACATGAGTATGATCGTAATCTAACTTTCTGCAATGATTTTCAGGACGATTATGACTTGACAGATAAAAAGGTTCCAACATAATCTTTTTTTTTGGGGGGGGGGGGTTAAAAGAAAAGCCTCTTAGTACATGCTACATATCTGCAGGTGGACCCTTCTAAAGATTTTTACGCCCCAATTGCCAAACAAACTGATCAGCAGCAGCCATAGCACGAGATGCTGAACCAATGGAACCTTCATACCTGTTGAAGTGATTATGTTGAGAGACAGTGGAAAAGAAGATGGTGCACTGAGTCCACAATAAATACAACTTTTTTCCCGAGAAACAGATTTCTTTGCACTAACTGCCTCTTTAAAACCAGACCAGAAGAGTCTACCCACCAACCCAAAAGGGGGAAAAAAATCAAAGCACGGCCAAGAAATATCTACTTCAAAAAAAAAAAAAATTTTGTTAGCGGGGTGACTTTAAGTTATGTGCTTACAGAGCAACGAAGATATATGATGCTGTCTGCATAACAATTGCACCTTCACCAGCAGGCTTTGATGTGTTCATGCACCTAGCACTAAACCAATTCTCATGAATTGATGTGACCAAGTCTGCCATCCAAAAGTATCCATTCTCAGAATTATGAGAAGATACATCGTGAATTAGGGGTTTACACTAAAATAAGATTCACAGAAAGCCTAATGACATGCATTAATATAATGCTTTTAGTTTTACCAGAAATGCAGAATAAAATGCATTTGCCGACCTAAATGCAATTGACGTACACAAACCAATATATCAAACTATGATCTTGATCCCAAGATAGTTAAGCCCTCTGGAAAGAATAAGGATTGAGAAAGTATGCTCATGTGGTTGCTATCAAAAAAAAAGTACGCTCATGTGGTCTCCATAAAAGAAATCTAAATAAAAACTCATTTATTTGGACTCTTAACATAATTTCTAGAAGATAGGATTCACAGATGCAGCTGCATCTAGAACTAGAACTACATTTCCCAACAATCTCAATGGGAGTCTTGAAAGCTATCCATTTTGAGTCCCAAGCTTACAAGATTTCGAACGCCAGATGCATTTTTGTCCAATTAAAACAAAGAAGATGTATAAACTAATTTCACCTCCACAGGTGCATATACTAATGAGGAAAGTTTCAAAAATTATGTGTTTCTAACTTCCTTTTGAGGATATTCAGATAGGCTAAAGTAATAAAAGCAAATTCCTCATGATCTATCATCAATGTTCCTTAAACCACTCTAAAAAGGCATATATAAATCCCTATGTAGATGTAAGGGAGAATCCAAACCTGAAAGAGTGGCTAATAAGGAGAGAGAGTATCCCAGTCATTTTGGAATGACTGAAAGAGTGGAACTATCAAAATATGGGGGTGGAGAAAGCAGGCTTAGGCACCAAATGATAGAAGATAACTCAGAGCCAAGAGAAAGGCCAACAAGAGAGAAGAGACACCACTATAAGAGAGTTATTTGTCTCACACCCAGCTGAAGTCAGATTCCTGCTCTTGCATCACAGCTGCAAGTAGAACAGACTTTATTCTCCCTCACCAATTCCCAAAAAAAAAAAATCCAAAATTTATGGAACCCCAGCCTTCTCTCAAAGAGTCTTGATTACCTAGATGTATGGGATGAACCCAATAATTTCAACCTCAACAATTTCTGTGACATTTCCCTCCACTCCCAAAAAAGGGTAGCAAATATTACTTAGCATTTTAGTGCAGCTAAAGTACAGCTTACATTGATTGGGACCAATAATGAAGCTTTCTGTCTGGAGTTTGTTACGTTTAACGTAGTCAACAAAGTGATTCAATTCGATGGGATTGGCTTTGATTCCTTCTTGTTCAGCACTGCCAGCAGCCAATCACCCCATCAATAAATACAAAATTTCTAAAACTAACAAAAAGACAAATCCAAACATGGTGGAGAGTAGTCCTTCGACAAAGCAAGACTAAAATTCACTCAGATAACATGAAATATCGTCAAAAGTACTTTAATCAATGCTAGTATTAAAAATCTTTTTTAACAAGATCAGAGGAAAACCAGGACAACAACATGTGTACATAACAAACTCAACAACTATGGATATACCATGCAGCATGGTGGAACACAATAGAGAAGTATTAAAGCTGTATTTTTTATTGACATCAAAGTAAGCTAACTTCTCTTAAAAAAAATGAATAAATCACAAAACAATAGCAAACTTTACATCAAACAGAAACTGTTATCTTGCTTACATGGTAGACAATAGGCGCGATGGTCCATATGGGTCATAATTTATCAGCAAAGCAGCTTTTAAAGGTTGACCTAGAAGGTGGAAAGATCAAATAAATGTTATGCATCTAAAGCTTATACAAAGGTAATAAATTTTTACCACATCTCGGTCAGCTGAAGCTTGCTTACCAGAAGAACCAATGCTAGTAGAAGCCCACTTATCCCATGTTTTATGCACAAATGCCCAGTCCATTGTGCCTGAAAAGGAATTAAAAGCATGAAATACTTTAGTTACTTCTCTCCATTGAATACACAAAACCATTTGATACTTGGGTGCGATTTTATGAAGTTCTGGTATTCATTGTGTACAGGTAAAAGAAAAAATCAAATAAACTCAGCACCTACGAACAAGATATTTCCAGGTATCTTTTAATGGGAAGATTTTTGTTTACACAATGACAATTTATGATCTAGAGGAGAACAAAATCCACGCGATTATCATGATTCTAAGTAACAATCGATCAATTAACATGAACCACGGAAAAAGATATTCACTTTATAATTTGATACACAATGTAGAGAACTATACAGAAGAAGTTTGCTCCCACAGTGGATTGGGAAGATATTCAAATGCCAGCTGCAATAAATGCCCCTTTCCATGTAAACCCGCAGTTCATATCTCTTTAGTGTTATCAATTGAATCTCATTGTAAATTTTAAAAACAGATCAGTCTGAAACAAAGAAAAAGTTGTAAAACTGTAGTTAAAGGGGGAAACTCGAAAGTTTCAGCTAGTATAGCAGGGACAGCACCACAACCGTTTAATTCCAATATTCTCCAACGGCCAAACGCTAACAACATTGACAACAAACTGTTACGAAGCTAAACTAATCACTCTCCGAGTATACAGTACCGTTGTGCGGACACTGACACTGTAGAAGCTAAACTAATCAGAAAAAGACACGACACTGATTATACCGCTACTAGGTATCGCTCTAGCAAAAGCGCTTTCGGACTGCGGTAAAGGCAGCGAAGAGGGATGCGTACGACGGAGGCCGGAGATTGACAGACCGACGAGGCTTAGTTAATCGAAGTTTGGTGAAGAATGGGCGGGCAAGACGCAAGAGGCTTGACCCGGCGAGAACAAACTCAGGAGCGCAATCAAAAGCGGTTTTCTTTTTCTTTTTTTTTAATGAGAAAAAAATTAATCTTATGAGAGGAATTACAAGAGACCATTTTTTGGTCAAATCATGAGCAACAATTAAAATTACGTACCTTGTTGTGAAAAGTTGTATACCACAAAAAGAATAATAATAATTTAAGATAACATTACAAAGTTTTAATTTAAGAGTTGGTGATAAACGTGGTGACCATATTCCATCGCTCCACTTTACACGTGTCCTAATAAAAAATTTGAAACTTTCCCTTTATTTCCTGATCCGCACTTCGTCTTCCTCCCGAAGAAATGAATCGATCATACAGGACACAGAAGAAAGGCAGATAAGGCGGATGAATAGGCAGCAAGTTTCAGGCCTAAAGCAGAAAAGCTGAACCTTTTTGTGAATGCGAAAGGAAGTGAATTGACTAATTTCTATTAAGGATTCTTCAAAGCTATGGCAAAGAAGCATCAGATTCTGGCGTTTCAACCTTCGGTTTTTCTACAGAGTAATTGCCGTCCAGAACACAAGTAATAGGAGAAACTGAGAAAGCTATCCAAAATGATCATTTTGTAAGAGATTTTCTACATAGCAGGCAAGTTTCCTGTCTGATTTGGCTCCTTCAATACGTTCATGGGAAAACTTGTAGATTTTGTTGCATATCAAAGATATATGTGACTGCATTTATTTGGTGTCTGAATCTTTACTCCTACATGAAATTTTTTTAAAAAAATCTTGCTCCTAAATGATCCTTGACTCAGCTTTTGAGACTTTCTTCGCTGCTCATTAGTACTTGGAATTAGTCAATCTATTCTGCATTTCTGCTTTGATTTTTACTGGCGAAATACACATGAATGGCGAGTTATAAGGAAATTCGCGAGGGTAGAATTTAAAAATTAGATAGCTGTGTGTGTGTGTGTGTGTGTGTGAGTGAGCGAGCGAGAGATAGAGAGAGAGAGCAAGGTGGAGTGAGCGAGAGGATCAACTCAACTAAAATTTCCATAAACTCTCCTTCCCCTCATCAGCCATGTTATCTTCTTGCTTTTTCCCATATCTCCATGTCCATTATCTTGCTTAAAGTTCTTTTTCACCTCTTTTTTTTTTTTTTGTCAATTTTGGTGAGAAAAGTCCTGTTTTCCTAGTCATATACTCACTAGGCAGCTAAAACATTCATGCTCCAAGAAAGAGCACTCAGGCAAAAATTAACAATGCGCCCAAGTATATTAGGCAGAGAACAGAACAATTATTTCGAGTCAAAGCATTCTTCTATTTCTTGTGTTATGTACTGTACTGTCTAATTGCAAGATAAGCAATTCAGCTCACCTCCTTTGATAAATTTGGAAAGCTGACCCTCCTCGCTGATGATGTATTAGAAGAAGTTCCATTTGTTGAATTTGGCGCATTTGTTGCATTTTTCTAACATTCACAGAACATATCATCCTCTTAATGGCATTATGGTACAAATAAAGAAGACGGTCAAGTAGTAGCAACATAGAACGAACAAATTCTATTTAGGTTTAAGAATACAGTAGTTGTAACATTGAATAATGATTAGAGAGCACCCAGCACACAAGCATAGTGCCGTGGCAGCCTCTACTTATCTTGATGGCATGATCAATTATAAATTATAAACCACATTTTGTTTTCTTATTAAAGATCAAGCTAATTAGCCAATGAGAATTGTTCATAAGAATGATATAATATGACATGAAATGAATCTATACTGTAGGGTGGTCTGGCTCGAAAACACGGTTGTGACAAGTGGGGTTGCAAGGGTAGGGGCAATCAATCTGATGGAAGGGACTTCGATCAAAGTACCAGTCTCCTACAGCTTTTGCAATTGTCTGCAGATTTTTCAGATAAAGTTAAGTTTTCAAGTGGACATAAAGGAAAACACAAATAATAAACCAAATGAAGAAGTATTCGTAGTCTCTTACTTTGTTGTGTAGCACTGGAGAGTCACTTCTTAACCATGTCTCCTGCATTTCTGTTTGGCAGTGGGCATAGCAAGAGTCTATAAACATTCCTTTCAACGAAGTGTTGCCCAGCACGGTCAATGCCTTCAGAAAATCCTGCCTGAAACCTGGAAGCCAAAAAAATGCACAAGAATGAGGTCTTGAAAGTAAGTTGTAAGGATTTCTGATAGTATTTTTATTTACCTTGCATCATCCCAAGTTGATCGGGTGAGCAGTTGTTTATATCAAGCTTGCAGCTATGCCAGCGGCCGTGGGGATCAGCAACACCCGGTGCCAAAATGTTTTTTATCTAAGTATGAGAAATATCTCAAAGATCAGAAGGAATAATAGAGAGAATTCATCATTCATAACGGATGAGAAGGGAAATCAACAAAATGATGACTTGAAAAAGAGATGAATGGTTAATTTCGCATCCACATTAGCGGTATGCTAGTGTGACTGTCTTTAACCATTTACATCCCACAAATTTACTCTTCAAGTCATGGAAATGATTTTAGCACGAAGAAAAAGTGAAAGAAGCATTGCAAGAACTGAATTATTTCCGGAGTTATTTTTCCGCTTAAATCAGCTCATCAACAAATAAATATTTAAATGTAAAGATTATTTTAGCAATTTCTAGTATTGACAATATACTATTCTTGAGAGTTCATTCTAAAATTGAATTCATATATCTTTAGCAACTGATGAGACTGACCTGCCATGAGTCATAGGCTGCATTTACAAAGAAAATTGGGGTCGTGATTTGTGATACCACATATTGTGGGAAGAAGCACTACAAGAATGTGCGGAGGTATTAGTAATACCATGAGAAATAATCCCAAAGGCAGAAGGACACTAGTTCACAAACTTACAAGTCCTGGGCTGAGTCTTGAAGTGCAGGATCGAGGTAAATTTTTTGCTGAACCCTACAATAGTAAAGAACAAAAGTCGAATTTGAATATTATAAATTGCCAATGAAAGAAAAGTGGGAAAAGGTCCGTCAACAGTTTGGCTGTACAAAACACAGGTGCTTTGATAAAGGAGAGAATTACATGGGTTTCGACAACTTGACTGTAAAACTGTTCAATGTGTTGCGCTCCTGAGACATCCTTTCTGTTGTGCAAGACAATATTGAATAAAATAATTTGAGAAACTCCGGAAACCCACAAAAATAAGGCCAAGCAGATGGCAAATTAAGAAGCCTACGTATTAATGAAGTAACCAGCATCTGAAAGACATTTCACTTTAGCACCCGCAGGTATCAAAGCTCGAAAGCGATCACAATGCAATATAGAGGTCAATGCTCCAGCTGAACAGCCAGAGAGCATAGCCTGTAATTATAAGTTCCAATTAGTGAATGAAAATTTATCAAGATGAAAGGAGGGGAGATGGCATTGTTTCAATGGGTAGTACATTTTCAGCATTTTTCATTCCTTTTGCCAGTAAATCCTCAATGACAGCAACGAAAACTCTTGCTCCTCTGAAGTGTAGATTTGTGTCCTGTTAAATACATGTATATCATATAATAAGAAACTGATCAGAAAACATACAGAAAATATGTACTCATTAAGATGTTCCATGGATTTCGAAACACAGATATTATGATTCATTTCTGCAAAACTCACCGAATCCACTGCTTCCACATCACCAGTGAATGATGCCCCATCACAATACCTAACCTTGATTTTATTCCAATTGTAGAAATCTGGATTGTACAGAAGTCATTAAGAAGTTATACAAAGTGTGACATTCATATTTTTAATGATTATCAACCAGGAGACTGTACCTGGATTAAATTTTTCCTTGTTGCTTAGAATTCCAGAGAAGGCAACCTGCTTGACCATTTTCTTAGATGAACCTAAGCGAGTGCTCTTTCGGGCAAGGCACGTTGTGACATTATTGCACCATCCACCTCCCTACAAATGAAATAAAATGGAAATTCATTACCAATGGAAAAGCAACTTTCATGAGTAGTGTGCAAGAATGAGATGCCTATTTGCAGATGAAGAATTTGCAGAAATGGAGCCACCTCAAAGTGTATGAGCCAGTTGTTTATCCCTGATCCGAAACCCTTACTAAAGTGGTAAGCCGGCGGACTCCCATCCAGACAAACTGCGAATAATGTGGAACTTCAGATTCCCAACTTCATCCTTAACATAACTGAATATTGTAAACATGGAGATGGACAACAAGGCTTTTAGTAAGGTTTAATTAGATCAGATACAGCTACAATTTCTCACCAGCTCCTTTCGCTACTGCATTCTCAACATAAGTAATTGGCACAAAGAAGCCTTCTGCTTTCAGCAATATCAATAGAAATACTAGAAGATTCAATTTCAAAACTTGGTTCATTCTTGCGCTCTCCATTCTGCAGAAATCCAACAAATAAAAAAACTGGCAAAGGAACATGGACAAAACAAGTGGGCAAAAAAAAAAAACTTTTCATGAAGGGAAAATAAACTTTTGGCCAAAAGAAAACCCCATTCTTACATCATATCGATACAGAAGTCATGCATAGTAGAGAATCCGCAATAAAATTCAGAAGATATACTCAAATACCATCTTTCGACCTATCTTCTGCCCAACAGTTAGCAACAAAAATTTATGGTTTGATCTTGATACTTCAGAAGCCAACGAATCAGTCAGTATTAATTGCTAGATCAGAAGGAGTGTTCCGTGACATAAACTAGTGCAATTTCCACAAAAAAAAAAAACCAATTTAGGAAGTGACACTATCTGTGCTCCAACTCAGAGAAGATCCTTTAGCTGTATCTGCACCCATCTAAACTCACAAGCGTGCGTTTGACAATGCTTTGTGTTAAAAAGAGGGTTTCCTGGCTTTAGACCATGCCTATGAGTTGGGCAATCACTTTTCCCCCTTGTAGAGGACCTTTCATGGGGAAAAAAAACAACTATCCATTTTGAATTTGTTTGGCCAAACATGCAAATAAACAGAAGAGAGCATTCTGAATGATTTACGGCCAGTGATGCATAGCCCAAAGAAGATTATCGAAGAATTTACTTTTATCAGAGAGAGACTGAAATGTATCATCTTATTTAATGCAGGGAAACAAAATGCATAGTGTACACTGCAGACGAAACATTGAGCTCCCCCATTGAAAATAAATACAAACAAGCAAACAAATCGATCTCCATTTGTTTATCGTAAAAGGGTCGACATAAATCACTGATCTCATATCAGCACTTAAAAAATCATCAACTGAGCATTATAATTTACAGAGCAAAACATAACAATAGGCTTGAACTGTTTTCACAACGAGTAAACAGAAGCTCCATTCAATCCCTCAAACGAAGAGCTGAACAGAACTAGAGGAGGAAGAAAAGCATTTGCCAAAAGAAAAAGAATAAAGAGGAGGATTGCAAAGCTCGCTACCTGCAGATTCTGAATGGGAAATGCGGAATGAGATGCCCAACCAGTTGATATAGGGGAACTGTGGGAAAGAAACCCAGTTCAAGACAAGTCTTTAAAAGAAGCTCGAATGGGAAAGAGGAATGTGACGAGCTGATTTAAGCAAATTTAAGGAGTGAGTTGGAGCGGATGATGGTGGGGATAAAGTTCAAAGGAAATGAAGTTTCCGTCCTATGAAGAAAGACGACCCAAAAAAACGCCGTATTTATTTAGGCCTTACGCAGAGAACCCAAGAACCGACACTCGTTCGGACAAATCAACCCTCGCTAAATGCTTCAATGAATCGTACTCCTATCAATTAAGAATAAAATATATATTTGATCTTTTAATTTTATATAAAATTTTAATTTATTTTTTAATTTTAAAAAGTATATATTTAGTCTTTTAATTCTAAAATTATTAAATTTTAATGATAATTTTTCATAACAATCATAAATTTTTTAAAAACTAAACTTAACATGTTAGTATTTAAGAATGTTTTATTAACATTTAAGATATTAATGTCATCAATTTTTTTTAAATTTCAAGGTTAAAGAATTAAAAGTATACTTTTTAATATTAAGAGACAAAATTAAAACCTTGTATAAAATTAAATAGCTAAATATAAATTCATCATAGAAGTTTCACCAAAAAAATTTAAAAACATACTCATAAATAAACAATTTCTATAAAATTCCAAATAAAAGATATAATTATTAAAAAGTTTTAATAATATCATATAACTTTCAGAGCACAAAATAGCAATAAATCATTTATTATTAAGATTTACTGCTAATTATCTCCTTTCCATTTCCCTTTTAAATTATATAATTATTATTCTCATCAAAACAGTACTAGTGTGTTATGAGAAATAATTCTTTTTTCGCCAGCACTATTTCATAAAGTATTTTTAAATTTTAATTAATAGTAAGACTTTCTGACTAATTAACCAGTCTATTCTAATTAATAATTTTTATTGAAGATAATTTTAATATATAACAAGGAATAACTAATTTTAATTAAATTTATTAATTTATATGAAATTATAATTAAGTTAGGTATAATATCGATGGCAGAGAATAAAAAATCTTTTTTTACAGAAAATATTTAATTAAAAAATAATAATTGAATTAAATTCCATTCAATGAGACCAACTCCTCGCAACAGTTACAGTGAGAGGCTGAGAGCAATAGGAAAGCGGGACTTGATGGAACCTTTGAGCGCGTTCTCTCCACCAATAAGTGGCGCAGTCTTTTACGAGGGAAAGTAGAAGCCTGTTGGAGAATCATTTCGCGGATTAAATTATTACTTGACAACATCGGAGAAATATATTTTTAATCTTAATCTTAATTAATCAATAATATTATAAGTGGACAAGGTTATCAAATTTGTGAGTTCTTTTTCCTTTTTTGACCGGGCAAATTCGTGACTTCAAACTTCAAACAACCTTGGATTGATAAAATAGACTTGCCGGAACATATATGATGAACGCATGAAGATTTACAATTTTTCATTTTAAATACTACTGGTTATAGTTTAACCATAATGCTATATGAAGATGGATCGGTTATCGCTTGTGAAGCCAATCTCACTAATTAAGATATGGCTTATAGGTGGAGGTGGGGAAAAAAAATACTCCTTTTGTTCTATTTAGAAAGTAAGGGAGAATATATTTTTTAATACTATTTATATGGCACTAAAATTTTTTTTATATAAATGTATAATTTTATCACTTATTTATTATTATATTAATTTTATTTATATAAAATATAATGTATATTAAATAGGAATAAAGTTAGAAATAGGATTTGAAAAGTAAAATAAAAGTATAATTTTAATCCTGGTCTTATTTTCCGGATAATTTTATCTATGATATTTGTAAGGGTACAATTTTGATCCCAAAAAATTAGGAGTAACATTGCAGTAATAAAAAGTATCAAGATAATATTGTACTTGAAAAATTAAATAGGATTAAAATTGTATCATTAAACAGATCAGAATAAAATTACACTTGAAAATAAGATGCTGTCTAAAACTGCACCGTTATTCAAAAAGATGAGGCTTGTAATTATAATCATATGATGGCAATTATAAAAGATGAAAAAAAAAATTGAATAAAGGGAGTGGAAATGGAATGTTTTGACTTGTGACTTACAGAATGATAGGATGGGATTGGGAAAGAGAGAGGGAGAGGGATGGCACGCCCACGCGGACGACAGTGATTGGTTCATACTTCATAGGGAGAAGCGGCCTTCCCCAGCGCATTTATTCCTCTCCCCTCGTTATGGCTCTAAAGCTGTCCTCCACTCATGCTTTTTTTTTTTTAAACCATTTTCCTCCCTCACTTATCTTTTTTATCAATAAGTGGATATTTGAGGAAAAAATATATTTTTTTATATATTTATTAGTTTTAGTTAACATTAGTATATTTTTAAACGCCGTAATTCACTTAATTAAATTTTATTAAAAAAAAAAGATTGGAAGGTGTATTTTTTCCAGTTTTCAGGCAGAGATAATAGTTTAATCGCGCAGCCTTAATAGTAGGTTCCTGTAACAGAGAGATGGAAGTGGATTTTGCCTTTTGGGGAGTAGAAATAAAATAGGATGAGAAGCGTGGGATTTAAGCAACACAATAAAAGGTCAAAGTGACCAAATGAACGTAACAAGACTAAAATGCCCTTGTAATAATCATTTTTTCATGATAGGATGATGAGTTTTAAAAAGAAATTATCTCTCCCAGACACCCCGCTTAAGTTGAGAAAAGCTTTTTCAGAAAAATGTATGAATTTTATTCAGCAAAAAAGGTGTCATTTGCATAATTTTTTAGGGTTGGAAGAACATTTTTCAGAATAATTAAAGCCCGGAGCCTCCTAAAGATGACATTCCTTTTTAGGAAAAGGTGACAATTTTATTTCAGATTATTGAAGAAATAAGGAGGACCACTGAAACTAATTGAAGAAGTTTAATTCCTTCCTCTTGTAGCCATGTTGAAGATGCATTACAGATTTGTTGAAAAAATGTGGAAGATAATTACATAATTTTTTCTACAATATATCTTCAATAATCTTCAATTGTATTTTTCCAGAGCTTGCAACATATCTTCAATTTTTTTACTTGTATTTTTTCTCTCTGTAGAATTCCTTAATTTTTAACAAATATTCTGATTTTAGAAAATATTCGAATACCTGGTAAAATATTTGAATATTTTAACAAAATTTTTCTGAGAACTTAATATCCTATTTCGAAAAATCATGTCACCTCAGATAAGTATTAGAATAAATATCTCATATTTTACCTAAATCTAGGCACAGCTTAGGGTGCAAATTCTTTTCACATTTTACCAAAGAAATCATCTAATTTTCGGAAAATTGTAGGAAAATCCTCTTATTTAAAAAGAATCCGAAAAATTTTTATTTGCAAAAAACATACAATATACTCTGCAAATTCGTACATATAAAGTGTTATTGTTGTGATTTAACTCCTCCTTTGTGATGAAATTTTTATAATAAATGTGAATCCAACACTCTAATTTTTTTTTTGAATGTATTTAACATCCTGATTTTTTTTTGCTCATTCAACACCCTGGTGTTATTGCTTTTTAGTTATATTCAACACTTTGATGTTTAAGATACTGAATATACTAAAAAAATAAGATTAAGATGTTGTATGGATAAAATAAAAAAAAAGGTCAGGCTGCTGATCCACCTTTGTCCATTTTTGATGAAGGATTTTCTCTCTAATTTTTTTTTAAATATTTTACTTTTAAATACCCTTGCCTGCCAAAAAGGAAAAACCATGGTCCTTGATAATGTTGGCTTGAAGCAAACCGCGGGGATTGGAGGAGGAGGGGGAGCAGGATTATATTACAATTAGTGATAGAAATCAAAGGGCGAGAATGACGGGAGTGACCGAGGAGAGTCACAGGCTACAATGATGACCCAATCAATGACGCCCCAAACCCCACCCCGCGGCACCCACCTCCTTTGGGTCACGTCACTCCTGCCCTCACGTCGCTTCTTGGTTCTTACAACCTCCTCACTTATCTTTTCCCAGTAGAATTCCGAATCAATTTTTCTTCCAATTTTTTTATAAAAATTTTGAATACCATAAATTAAAAAATTAGTTAAAAATAATAAATATATAAAAATTAAATTTTTTAAAAATATCCTTTATGAAAGAGAGAAGGTATAAAAAAATAAAATAATTATAATAAAGAGAGTTATGAAAAAGAAAAAATGTATAATGAAGAGAGATGATAGTTTGAAAAATAAAATAATAAATATATTAAGTATTAAAATAAGTAATTAATATGAGCAAAATAAAAAATTTATTATAAAAATTTAAGATAATTTATAATATTATTTTACTTAGAAACAAAACAAAAATAATAATTGTTGTTTATTAAAAAAGACAAAAGGAGTAACATTTTTCAAGCCAACTAGTCAAGACTTCATCACTTCAATCTCGCCGGCGCCGCTTACCCCGCCTTCTTTTTTTTTTTTTTTTGGAAATTTCAGTTAAATCCTGTCACCTGACTTGACAAATGTTCACTTTGAAAATTCAATTCAGTCTCTTTGACACAAAATAAAATTAAATAAACAAGGAGAAAAAGACCATCCAGCCCTTCAAATAGGTAATGCACAATTTCACATATAAAAATTTAAAAAAGAAAAGAAAAATAACAACTCTTTATGCAAAAAGTTACCCACATGTAAAAATTTATAACTAAAAAAGACAAATAACAACTATGCATTTTTTTTTACAACAATAAATAGAAAAGTAACAACTATACATATAAAAATTTATAACAAACAATAAAATAATAATATTTAAAAATATGATCGTTTACAACAAATGATAAGAAAATAATAACTATAGATATGAAAATTTATAACAAAAAATAAAACATAACAACTCTACTCATGGAATAAAGCCTATAAGATGTTTTCAACAAATTTATTAAGTGGGATTCAACCCACAATTTTTTACGTCATAGACTTGTTTCTTATTCTCTCTCTGTTTTTTTTCCCATTTAGCATATGCATTCTTCCATTAAATATTTTTTAAGACACTTCAGTACTAAATATAAACATTTTTTTAAAGTTAAATTTCAATTTCAGT